TCCTAGATTAAGCTATCAATTTTTGATTGTTGACGAGGCATTTGAACTGGATATTGGAAATGCTTTCTTGTTATCATATCAGTCATCATTCTTCATCGTCTTCTTACCTGCTTAACTGACAATATTATTGTATACACTGAATAACAACATGATAAGCGGTCAAATTCAATCTGATTGCAGTTGGATTTACTGTGTACGAAACGACAAGAAATAATTTACGATATTTTCAATTGGTCTTCAAATGAGGAAAGTGGAGTGAGTGTGTTGGCGATTGCAAATACGTTGGATTTACCCGAGCGCATTTTGTCAAGACGTGTTGGGAGTAGATTGGTTGGTGTTTAAAGTTTACCAATTCCTTTCGAGGGAAAATATTGACTTTTACCCTCCTCGAAATACAAATCGAAATGAATTGAATGATGCTTTTAAGGGCCTGAATCGATTGTGTTTCCAACCGTATGATCATGACCAGATTGCATTCATTATTCGAAACCGACTTTCTGGATCATCGGCTGTTCAAGAGGATGCGTTGGAATTTGCGAGTCGTAAAGTCAGTTCTTTTTTTTTTGTGAAGGCATTGTATTCTCGTTTGTCATTCAGTTTCTATTCGTTTTTTTTTCAGCACTTGCACGATTTACTTAATTTAATGTTATTGTATTGTGATTGCTTTATATTGATATTATCGTACGTTTATTGATATATTATCATATGCGGTGTTGTTGAAAAAAAAGGATATGACTGTATTGTTTGGGTTGTGTTGAGCATCGTTATAGTGGTTGATGCTTAATTGGTTTCGAATCGAACAAGTTGAAATCACGAATCAAGAAGAGAAAATTCTGATGAATCGTTAAAGTATTGTTCAGTTCATTCAAATTTTTAACCGAATTCAGGTCGCTTCGGTATCAGGTGATCTTCGTAAAGCGTTGGATATTCTAAGGCGTGCAACACAATTGGCAATTAATTACAAGGCGAAACAGCTGACCATGAAACATGTACGACCTTTTTGCAAATATAAGTTGATCGTAAATATAAGTTTTATTTCGAGCTCTCAGTTTTCCATCTTCAAACATTCTGATTGTAGTTGTTTTAATTTTGAATTAAGAGAAAGACTGAGTTCCAGATGATTCAGTTTTGTGTCAGGTGATCGCACTGAGAACTGAAAACAGATTCATTTTTGGTTTTTAGGTACAAGATGCTGTGAAAGAAGCTTCAACAACGGCTAGTGTTGACTTGGTGCATTCATTGTCACGACATTCTTTGATGATCCTTCGTTCGGCTTTAGCAGAACAAATTAGTTGTGGTTAGTTTATTGGTTTTCAGGTTTTTTTTTTTGATTTTTGATATGATGAATATAATTCATTTTAAACGTCCACGCATAGACTCGCTTGCTCAGTCATTCTAGAGGAAGTCGTGAAATACAAGAGAATCAATCAGTCTTCAGGGTGCAACTTTCTTATCAATATTTTGCCACTTTTGTTCTCAAGATAATTGATTTGCAGGTTTGGACGAGTTTCTCTTTAGTGACCTTTTGAAGCAGTATCGGTTACAGTGTCATGTGCAGCATATTGATCCACTTCCAGTGAGTTCGGTGTATGGAAATGCAATGGAAATGTGCACGTAAGTATGCTTGTGACTGTAACATTCCGATATTCTTGTGAACTTTACATAACTAAGCGAGGATTATCTCGAAACGGAATTATTTGATTCATTTCCAGTATTCTTCTGCCTATCGGGTTCCATTGAGACCTAAATTAGAGTCGTGCAAGGAAATCAGTTCAACTGGTAGTCATCGGAATATCTTTATTGATTTCGAATGAACCAATTTCTGAAACTTTGACCGTAATTT